TGAACTGTAAAATAGACCATTAATACTCGTAGTTCGTCGTATCTATTAACTTTTTTCCCAACGTTCTGTTCTACATACCATACCGTCATTTGTGGGAAATATAACAATGAAGTAGTTAAAGATAAATTTCATGGGCATCAAAGCTACCGAATTAAAAGCAACGATTTTAGATCATAATATATTTCACAACACTGTTAACCATAGTACGAGGCTAGGCATGTTATGAATAACATGTGACTATCGTCTTGCAGCGCCTCGAAGAAAACACCACTCGATCGGAGTACCAAGTTCGTAAGACCCCTGTTCAAGAACGGAAACCACAGGATCTGCTCCAATTATCAGATCATCGGCTTATTGAGCATCCAGTGAAAAGTCTACACAAAGGAGCAAGAAAAAATATGGCGTGGAATAACTGTTCTACAATGCAAACAGAGCATGTTGGCTTCAAGTCAAGCTATAAAGCCTCCATCTAAATCTTCATCTCTGGCCGGATTGTTAAGAAATCTTCCGAGTTCCTTCATCCTGATTTGCATGTGACTTCTTGATCTGAACAAAGTCTATGGCCAGATCCCGCGCAACAGTCTTCTGGCGTGCCTGCAAACGTATAAAATCGCTGCTTAGTTGCCGCGAGCGAACCAATTACTGTTTGTTGATAACAGGTGCTGCGTCAGAGTAAATGGTGTTAAGTAGAAGGCTTTCAGAGTTGGCCCTGGTCTGCGCCAAAACTGTGTCCTGTCACCTCTCCTGTTAGTGTTGTTGTTCGCGGAGTAGTCAGGAGCTGCCAAGGCGATGAGGGTTCGGTGCAGGAGATGTGAAAACGACGAGGTTGCTGTTGGCAGACGACCTTGTTTTATTAGCATCTTCTGAAACTGATCTTCAGTGCTGCTTGGAAAGATTCGTGGCCAGCTGCGTGTGAACATATCTAAATCGAAAGGCCTATTGCTTTCTAGTTATCCTGTCCGTTGTTCTCTTCAGATTAACGGAGAGGTAGTGGAGCGACTTCAGGCAGGAGGAGAAGTTAGTGTACATCGAGGTCGTGCTCACGACTGATGTGATATGGAAAGAAGAAGTCGACGGACGAATTGAAATGGCCAACAGTTCTCAGCTTGAGTCGTGGGCTACGAATGAAAATCCTCGATCCCGTTATAAGAGGTTGAAATAGCCTCTCTGTCACTAATCGCTGAACTGACCTGTCTAGATATGGTCCGGCGTTGAAGTATCTAAGAGAGAATCTACGCCTCTATGCACAGGCGGTGTGTATCCAGGTCGAGAAGTGACAGCCGTGATGGTTTTGGAACGGAGGGCGAAGTTGCAACTAATGTTTCAATCGACCGATCAGCTGAGGAGCTAGGGTAGGCAAAAAATATCCCAGTGCATGTGTATTGAAGGATTCTACTTTGCGCTCGGGTTACCCTCTGTCGACTTTCAGACACTGAAAATAGATCAGGTGTGTGACGCGTGTGTCTTCACAACCGGAAAACGCAAGCGGTCATCGAAACTGACCGACTGAGCTTTAATGTATTCATCGTAGTGGCAAGGGATTCACAGAAAATATGACGCAATGTTTTGATGGATGCGTGCCGAAATAGGGCCACATTAACTGAAATTTGAGGCAACATAATAGACGTTCTAATTAAACTAAAACATTTGTTTAAAGTTAACGCTTTGTAGAAAAAATTATCACTTAATCTGCTTTAACATTTTCTTAGGTTCCCGCCAGCTGACAAACGCGAACAATGGAGGGACAGTGCCAAACAACTGCTCTGCGGTGCGAATGTTAAACCGAGTCGGACCAGTTGGTCCACCAGGACCATCAGGTCAGAAAGGTGAACCGGGACCAAAGGGAGATGATGGCATTGCTGGACTGCAGGGACAACGTGGGGCACCTGGACGTCAAGGACTTAGAGGTGATCCAGGTCAACCGGGGAGAGAAGGACTTAAAGGAAATGCCGGAAATAAGGGAGATCGAGGGTTAGTTGGAGCAAACGGACCCAAAGGCGATCAAGGATTTGCTGGAATAGTAGGTTTTGATGGAGGCCATGGCATTCCAGGGCGCCCTGGACCACCC